TCACGGAGCAGAACGTTTCCAAGGCTCATCCACGTGGTGTCGTGTGTCAGTGCATCAGTCCCTCTGCTGTTGAGGACAGTACGTGAGCGTGTGCCACGTTCTGTTCATCTGTTCCTCAGCTGATGGCAATGGGCTTGTTTCCACTGTCTGCAAACACTTATGAATATTTCTTTATGAGTAATGAGTATTTATGAATAATGCCGCTATGAACATTTGGGCACGCGTTTTTCCGTGGACGTATGTTTGCAGTTTCCCCCAGTATATACGTACGAGGGACACTACCGGAACACACAGTCCGTCTTTGTTAAATTTTAGCCATCAAAGTGTCCTCCCAGGAGGCTGTGCCCTCCAGCCTCCCGAGTCTCCTGCCTCCCACGCTGGCTTCTCACTGTGACTCACGACAGCCCCCTAGTGGCTGCGAAGTGGCGTCTCGCTCAAGTTCCATCTGTATTTCTCTCCTGGCTAATGAGGTCGAGTGTCTTTCCAGGTACAACTGACCACCTGTATACCCTCTCCGGGCAAATACCCATACGGATCTTTTGCTCTTTTAATTGTGGTGAAATACTCCGAACACAGGTTTTACCATCTCGATCACTTGTTAGTGGACAGCCAGGTACTGCTCCATCCGTTCCCATTGTACCACCAACACAGAAGCTTCTCACACCCGTTGAAGTCCCCAGCCTCTCAGTCGCCGCCTCACGATCGTCGCTGGGACAGGGCTGGGGACACCAACCCTCTGCACTCCCCCTGGCGCCGCTCCACTGCCCTGCCACACAGACAGGCCTGAGTTATTTAAGTGCAGCCCACTGCCCTAAGCCAGCAGGAGAAAGGCCACTCCCCTAAACAGCAACAGAACATCACACGGTTCAGAAACAGAGATGGCTCACTCCTTCACTCTGCCAACTCACTCACAAATTCACCATGTCCCAACAACAGCACTAGGAGTCACGCGCACAAGGGCGCTTGGTGCAGCAACAGTTAGAGACCGGCATCGAGTCCGCTGACACGGGGCCGGACAGAGTACTGTACAGTGTGCCACACGTGATCATGCTCAGAAGACATCAGAATTCAGTAAGTTAGCAAACAGTCACGGACTATCCAGTGCTCACTAGTGCTGGGAACCAGATAGGAGTGCAATTTCTGCGTTCAAGGTACTGACTTTGGTGGTTGGAGAGAAGGATGTAGAGACAGATGATAGATGATAGACAGACAGACAGAAAGAAGCTAGACAGGTAGTAGATGACATAGATACATGATAGCAGAGGGGTGAATGGATGGATGATGGATGGTAAATAGATGATAGATAGATAGATAGATAGATAGATAGATAGATAGATAGATAGATAATAGAAAGAAGCTAGATAGATAGTAGACGATATAGACAGACACATGATAGCAGATGGATGGATGATGGATGATAGACAGACAGACAAGACAGACAGATAGATGATAAACAGAAGGAAGCTAGATAGATAGTAGACGATATAGACAGACACGTGGTAGCACAGGGATGGATGATGGCTGATACGGATAGAGGATATGACACAGACACAACAGAACAGGCAGAGAGATGTGATAGGTGACAGATAAGATGAATGATTGACAGACAGCTAGAAAGACAGATGGGTAACACAGAGAAGGGTGTCCATGACAGTGACGTGGAATGAGGAGTGGGGTGCCATCTGGGCAGGAGGGTCAGGGACAAGGCCTCTGAGGAGGCATATGGCAGAGTGAGCACAGCGAGGAGGTGGCCAGGACACTGAGGGACAGGAAGGACAGGGAGGTGTGTCTGGGAGGAGCAAGCAGATGCAGAAAAAGGGGAGCACAGTCCCAGGAGGACTTGGCCGCGGTCTGAGGTGCTGGGAAACAGGGACACAACACGCCTCAATTGACACATGAAGGATGGGCCTAGTTGCCACACATCCCAGGAGGTGGGAGCAGAAACCCAGAACCCAGCCAGGGGCCGTGGCGGCCGTTCATGGGACACACACAGCCCCCACACGGAAGCAGTCTCTCTGTGTGTGTTCTATTTTATCAGTCCGCAGAAGGTGCTCTGTGAGAACAGGTCTGGTCCTTGCATGGCAGCCATGACTGCAGGGTAGACATCTGCTTGCGGCCCAGGAGCCCTGGGGTGGGGGGGAGGTTGCTCTGCAGCAGGCCTGATGGCACTTCTGCACATCCCCACGGTCCCTTCCCATGCCTGTGGGTGTAACGTGGATAACGTGGGCAGGAGCCCCTCTGTGCTTGGGTCCGATGTCATCTCTGTCACTTGTCTCCCAGTTTTGTAAACTCGAGTCCTAAAAGTTGTACTTATCACCTGGGCTCTGGGGTCTCTCCTGACAGGGACCCAGGGCCGCACCTTCCTCCCCGTGACCCACTCTTTCCAGCACTCAGTGCCCTGCAGTGATGCTCTGGGCCTTTTCAGCCAACAGCCCCCGGGAAGGCAGGCAGGCAGCCGCCAGGCATCCGGCAGACAGGGTGTGCAGGGTGTGCCTCGTTGTGCCTGAGTGCGGCAGGTTCACCTCGCAGGGAAGGCGGCCAAGGGGCGGGGACGCCAGAGCCCAGAGGTAGGTGCATCCGGCTGGTCCAGGAGGGGCTGTGGCACAGAAGGCGATTCAGCGTCTTTTAACCGCCTTTGCCGAGGCCAGAATTCCCCGGACACGGTTGAAACCACCAGGTGAAGATGCGTATTCGGGCTCCCTGATGATGAAGGAAAGGGGCCCTGCAACTATTTGTGAGAGGGCAGTAGGTCCCCCTTCTGCGCCGGGTTGATACAGACCAGCTCGCCTCTGGGGACAATGATCCAGAAGCAGGCAACCTCCCCACCGAGGCCTGAGGACAGGTGGTGGGGCTGCACCGCTCGGGGGTGGGGGGCCCACTGGCTCTGCTGAGTTAACCTGAGGAGTCAGACATTTCCCGGGCTCTCAGCCTCTGCACAGCTACATGTCCCTCTGCTCCTCGCAGGGAGTGCAGCCGCCAGGACGGCCAGCTGGGGAGCGGGCGCCACCTGGGAGGCCACCCCACCTGGGGACGCGGGGCTGCCGCAGGCAGTGACAGCCCAGGCCGTGGGCACCGCACAGGTGCCAGTCGTGGAGGACAGAGTGGAGTAGGTGGTAAAGCTGTGTCTCGGAGGAGGGTCTCCTGTGGGGCCAGCAACCCCTCTGGGGTCTCATTAGAGCACAGCCTCATATCAGCATCCAGTCTTGAGAGCTGCTGTCACCCCCGCTGGTGTCCACACACGTGACCTGCTGTGTCACCTGCCAGCCACAGCATCCGTGGGCTGGGAGCAGGTCTACCTGTTACCCCCACCGCCCTGAGCAAGGCCCGAGCCCCTGGTCCCACACCCCAGAGAACACCTTAGGGGGACGGGCTGGACCCTGTCCCTCTCCTCCCTCCTTCCTGTGCTGCTTGTGGGAATCTCGGCTGCAAGTGTCTGTCTGCACAGCACAGTGTGGTTTCGGAAGGCCCAGCGCTGGGTGCTGGGAGCCAAGCTGTGCCCCTACTAACCCCAGCACCTCAGAATGTGACTCTATTTGGATACAGAGACTTATACAGGTTATTAAGATAAAATGAGATCACTAGGGTGGCCCCAATCCGGCCTGTCTGGTGCCCTTCTAAGAGAGGAGGACACAGATATGCCTAGAGGGACAACCTCATGAGGACGCAGGACGCAGGGAGAAGACGGGCATCTGCCAACCCAGGAGAAAGGCCTCGGGACAAACCACCCTTCCCACACCTCCTTCTGGAATCCAGCCTCCAGGGTGGGGAGAGATGAGATCTGTGCTGTTGAAGCCGCCCTGTCTGTGGGCTTTGTTATGCAGCCTGAGCTGACTGATACAGATGCCAGGAGGTTCAAGGTGGGGCCAGGGAGACAAGGCACATCCCCACTCCCCCACCCCTGTCGAATGAGTCCTCGGGGCATCTTCTGAGGAAGCAAGGGTGAGCAAAGTACAAAGGGGGCTCCCTGAAATGTGAGGGGGGGAACCCCAGCTCAAATGTTTATTATGAAACAGGAAGATGAGCAGACCCCCTCCCATAGATCACGCCCTTCTCCTGAGGCAGGAGGGATGACCCTCCCACTAGGGCGAGGGTCAGAAATGCATCTGTAGCCACCAAGGATGGTCAGGGCCTATTTTCCTGCCAGGCCGCTGCTGCTGCACCCGCCCCAGGCTGAGGGTGGGCATCACCATGGAGGAAAGAGTCTGCTCGTTGGGATGAGCCTGGACAGCTTATGGTCTGTGTGTCCGTGTATTCAGTAGCAAGAGCATGCCCCAGAACCCTGAGGCAGTGGGCGCCCTGGCCCCAGACCACCTGGTAATGCAGGGAGCGTTACCACCGTGGACAATCCCCTGAGCCCCCGTTCTGTCCAGCTGTGGCTTTATTTCAGCCAAGTGGTTACAGTGACTTCTGGGAAAGCCCGCTTCATGGGACGTGTGGTGAGTGTGCTCTAAGCAACAGTCGTAGAGCAAAGCCTGCTGGTGGAGACGAGAGTGTGTGTGTGTGTGTGTGTGTGCGCGCGCGTGTGTGTCTTTGGTACAAAGAGGGTGTGTCTGGTGTGTCTGTGTGTCTATGTGTGTGCATATGTGCTGTGTGTGGTATGTGTATCTGTGTGGTATATGTGTATGGGATGCATGGTGTGCATGTAGCATGTGTGTACATAGCATGTACATGTGGCGTATGTGATGTATAGTGTGTGTGTGGTGTATGTATAGCATGTGTGTATGTGTAGTGCACGTAGTGTGTACGTGTGTTGTACATGGTGTATAGTGCGTGTGGTGTGTGTGTAGCATGCATGTATGTGTATTGTACATACTGTGTACATGTGTTGTACGTGGTGTATAGTGTGTGTGTGTGTGTGTGCAGCAGCATGTACTTGTAGTGTACATAGTGTGTACGTGTGTTGTACAGGGTGTAGTGTGTGTGTGGTGTGTGTGTAGCATGTGTGTACGTGTAGTGTACATAGTGTGCACATGTGTCGTACATGGTATAGTGTGTGTGTGTGTGTGTGTGTTGTGTGTGTACACAGTGCCAGGGCCGGCCGGCAGTGCAAGCGCAGTGGAGAGAGGTGGCAAGGGGAGCTGTGCGCAGAGGCTGTGCCTGGGCCCCGGCTCACCTGGACCCATCCACACCTGCAGATACAGGTTTGACAACATGAACATGCAGCCTCCAACAGCTGTGAGACTTTGGAAACGGGAACAGAGTGTGGAGGCCGGTGCCCGGGGGGCACCTCACTGTCCCTGTACGAGCGCCTGGTTTGCAGGGACAAGGAGGGAGATCAGAGGGCTGTGCCAGAAATCATTTATTAAAGCAGGCAGTTGTGCAAACTTCGGTAATACATGAGTCGTGAGAACTTAGCGTTCACAGAAGTAGATCTCCAGAAAACATACCCATAAATGTGTTCTTTCACGTGAGGAGCGGTGTAGAGACGTGTTTTCATGAATTTCCAAGAGCCCGATGTGAGCACACTCAGGCTCCTGTGAAGACAGCTCTGCTGAGAGTGATAAAAATAAGGACCGCGGGCTACGGGAGGCTCTCTCCCAGGCAGAGTGGCTCTGCTGGGACACAACCGTACTGGTGGGGGCAGGAAGGACATGGCCCTCCCTGCTCCCCTTCCCTGTGCTCAGGATGCAGCAGGAGGTGCTCCCGAGACCCCGGCGTCACCCGGAGAAATTCTGAAAGATGTCGGCCGCCTCCACCCAGCTCTGGAAGCAGGCCAGCCCCCGCTCCCGGATCTGCTTCCGCCCTTTGTTGGTGATGACCTCCCCGCTTGGTTTCACCACCACCAGCCTGGGGATGGCTGTGATGTTGTACCTGGTCCTCAGCTCCCTGCAGGAGAGAAGCGGGGGGGGGGGGGGGGCGGCATCAGCAGGGGAGTGGGCGACCACCACACACTCGTCCCCAGGGCCGGCTGACCCCGCAAAGCCTTAGCCCTCAGCCCACCCACACCTCCTCTCCCTGCTGCGGGCCTGTCCAGAGAAGTGTCCCAGGGAGGGGACAGGTGTGCTGTCCTGAGGGGTGTCCCAGAGAGGGGGCTGCTCTGAGCCTGTGCTGCTCATCCCAGAGCCACAGCTGTGTGGGGCCACAGAGCACCCGAGATGTGAGGAGCGCCAGAAGAACGGAATTTCTCATCTTCGTTCATTTAAATTCAAGTAGCCACCAGCGGCAGGTGGCTACCATATTGGATGGTAATATATTCATTCACCCCCAATAAATTCATACCCCTCCTCTATTTCAAGGGGCTGAAAAACACCAAGTACACACAACAGTCAGAGCTAAACCTCTGTGAGTTCCAGATAAACACAAAGCCGTGTGAGACTTTCTACCTCTCAAACCCGAGGAGAGGCTGATTTACATCATGGATGACACATTTCTTGGCTACTTTTTCCATCACATGTGACCCTGGAGTGACCTTCTTACAAAATTATTTGCGTTGATTTGGGCAAAGGAGAATCTACCTTGGTTTCTCCCCATAACCTTCTCCTGGATGACTGCCCTCAAGACAAGGCAGCTGATAAAGACCCCTCCCCATTCCCAAGGCCACCTTGCTAGTGCCTCATGCTCAGTGATCTGACTGCAGTCACCTGTCACCCTCGGGACTGTGGGTCTGTGTGGAAGGAAGGAAAAATGCACTTGAAACCCTCCTGTTACCACGTCTCCCGTCACATCTCCATCAAGGTGTTGCCACTGCCTCCTGGCGCCCAGGCCAAAGATTAAGGCATAAATCAAGCAGGAAAAATACCTCCCACCTCCACCCAAAGGAAGAGAGACAGCCTTGTTTTCAAACATCGAAGAGACCGTGACAAACCCAACATCTTAATAAAGGAATCTTAATAAAATTTCTAATAATCAAGAGCGTACAGACCACTTAATCAGACCATAATGTAATGAAACTGGAAACCAACGTGAAATGATGTTTGGAATGAGTTTAAAATACACTAAATATCCGTACACTACCACCACATGTGAAACAGCAATACACACTACAACATGATCAAAGAAAACAATATGGAATATACTTCTGATCCAAAGCCGTAGACACACTAGACATAGAAAGTTGTGGTCTTAAACACACTTTTCCAAACTATTTGTGGACAAGCTGTGTGCTTGACTCATGAAGCAAGAACAGGACTGGTGCAGCAGACACTTAGGAAAGGCAGACGGTGGCCGGAAGTCACAGCAGAGAAACAAAGGATCCAGTGAGCCTCAGAAGGAACCTGCCTGTGGGGAAGACCAAGCAGAGGCTGGCTCTCCCAGCACTACTCGGGGAAAGGAAGACACAGGAACACCAGGAACCAGGCAGCGGCCAGCTCCCGGCCCACGGCAGACTCCACCCTGCTTGCAGACACGGGCAGGCAGGCGGGCACGGTCGGTCACCCCTGCCCTGCCCCACCACTGCCAGGACCACCTGTTCCCGAAGGACACCTGCACACACTGCCACTCCAGCAGCTTCCAGAAGCCCTGACTCACGTGAGGACGACACAGCAAAGTAGGAGAAAAGAGTGTTATGTAAGAGTGATCATCATTCATGGGACTGATCAGGGCTGACAAGCGCACACCACAGGCACGGAGAGACGCCGGCCTCGGGACCATCCAAGGCCTTCGCTGACAAGCCAGCAGCTCTGGCAACTCAGGAGTGGGCTGTGGCCTTGAGGAGACCCCCCTGGTGTTTTAAGGGCCCTGAACAACACCAGAAATTTGAGGTGCCTACGAAACTAGCTTTCCCCCAAAGCAGAGACAACCACATGAAGAAAAGAGAAACAGCCAGACAGCTGTTGGCGTGAAGACTGCAGGGAGACGCCAGAGGCCGCCACCGGCTTTGCCCGGCAGCTCGGGCAGAGGGGTCACGGCAGGGCCTTCGCACTGGGCAGAAGGCGGGGAGTGCAGCGCCCGCCACATCACAATCGTCCCGCTGGGGTTCTGCCGCCCAGGGCCTGGGGCTTACCCTCAAGGCCAGCAGGCCCTACCCAACGTGTGCGGGGCATGCTAAGGGCATGGGGTCCCCAGACCCGCAGCAGCAGCAGCAGCAGCAGCAGCACCCGGGAGCTCATCAGAAGTGCAGTTTCCTGTCCCTGCTGGTAGGGGTGGAGCCTGCGGTCCTTCGGGGCCATGTCTGCCCAAGCGTGCAACCCCGCCAGTCTCCCAGGGCCGCCTGCTTCCCCCTCCATCCACCATCCATCCACCCCGGGGACGGGGGGGGAGAGCAGGCAGCAGGGGAAGCTGAGAACGGTGCCCTTGATGGCTTGGGCAGTAGAGGCATGTGGCTCCCTGCTCAGCATCCTGATCCTCCGCCTTCTGGCATTAACTAGCTGTGGGCCTTGGGCAAGCTAGCTAACGTCCTTGTACCCCAAATTCCCCATCTGCACCGTGCGAAATACTTCCCTGGGTTGTTGGGAGGTTTAGATGGTTAACACCCATACGGCATGGCTAAGGGACTGGCATGTAAATGCTCAGGAAACACTGAGGCTGTTATTGGTGGAGCCACGTCCGATCGCAGGTGGCAGCGGTTGACTGCTGGCCACGCTGACCAGCACCGGAACAGGTGACCAGCAGACTCAGAGCTAGCGCGACTCCTCGGAGTGCTTTCGTGTGATTTGCATGAGCTAGTAAAGAGGAAGGTGTGAGAACAGTGTGAGGAAGGTGTGAGGATGTGAGGAAGGTGTGAGGAATATGTGAGGAAGGTGTGAGGAAGGTGCAAGGATGTGTGAGGAAGGTGCGAGGATGTGTGAGGAAGGTGTGAGGAAGGTGTGAGGGTGTGTGAGGAAGGTGTGAGGATGTGTGAGGAAGGTGTGAGGGTGTGCGAGGAAGGTGCGAGGAAGGTGCGAGGAAGGTGCGAGGAAGGTGTGAGGAAGGTGTGAGGGTGTGCGAGGAAGGTGTGAGGAAGGTGTGAGGGTGTGCGAGGAAGGTGTGAGGAAGGTGTGAGGGTGTGCGAGGAAGGTGTGAGGAAGGTGTGAGGGTGTGCGAGGAAGGTGTGAGGATGTGTGAGGAAGGTGTGAGGGTGTGCGAGGAAGGTGTGAGGATGTACAGCCTGAGGCACAGCAGCTGCTCTGCCACCGTGAGGAGAGACTGCATTTGCCAGGTGGCCCCGGGCTGCAGCCTGGCACCCGGCCGGCATGGCAGAAAGCAGAGCCACGGAACTGTCCTCGGAGGCTTCCCACCGCCCTGGAGACCTGCTCTGGCTGCTGTGTGTTTAGGTGAAGCTGATCAGTAATGGTTACTGTTTAAGCTTTGAGCTGCTCTGCGGTTTACTCCCTTGCAAGGGTAAGTCAAGCTCTGACACGGCGGGCGGGCGGGGGGGGGGGCTCAGGCGCGCTGGGCTTTGAGGAGTGAGGAGTCTGGAAGAGACGTTTGCTCCACAGTATCCGCAGAGTCAGCCGCGTGGGCCCTGGAATCCCCAGCCTGGCAGCGCCTGCGGGGAAACGACTGTAACCCTGGAGCCGCAGGGAGAGGCTCGTAAGCGCCGTCTCCATGGCCTCCGGCGCCGTGTCCCTCGGGAACAGACCGCGCCTTGGAAGGAGAGCCCTGAGGCCGCAGAACGCAGGCGCGAGACCTCTGAGCGCTGTAAACCGTCCGCACCTGAGGGCCAGGCTCGGGCCGGGCGCTGCCGCCGCGGTGGCTGCCTCCCCTCGCCTAACACAGCCGTCCTCCCCCGGCTCCACCACTTCGGGCTTGTCCCCCACGCTGGCTCCAGGACACCCGTCCTTGGTGCGGCCACCACAACCAGGCCGCTCGCCCACCTGCACACAGGCACCGCTGCAGGGACTTCAGGAGACTTGTCTGTCCAGGGCTGTCAACGCCCTTCAGCCACGCGGCCTCCAGCCGTGCCCTGGGCGCCCCGTGGGGGTCCCTGGGGAATCCTCCTCCTCCCCCTGGCCTCAGGAGTCAGGAGGCCGCTGAGGGAAGACAGCCCCGGATCCTGACCACGACTGACCAGGTGGCCCAGGGCACTACTGTCCTGGTGGGGCAAGGGGCAGCGTGTATGCTCCGCACACAATAGGAAACTTCCCCCCAGGCCACCCCCACCCTCCACATTCTTCAGTTCCCCTTGCGGCAGCACGATCCCACACAGCCCGGCTGGAATCAGGGCTCAGCCGCAAACATCCCCACACAACAGCCCGGTTCCTACCATAGAAACTGCAAGGGCAGAGCCAGTGAGGAGCGACCTCCTTGCAGAAAACCTGAGGCTAGGGGCGCCTGGGTGGCTTAGTCGGTTAAGCGTCAGACTTTCGCTTAGGTCATGATCTCGCGGTTCGTGGGTTCGAGCCCCGCGTCGGGCTCTGTGCTGACTGCCAGCTCAGGGCCTGGAGCCTGTTGCAGAGTCTGTATCTCCCTCTCTCTCTGACCCTCCCCTGCTCACGCTGTCTCTCTCTCTCTCTCTCTCCTAGAAATAAATAAAAATATTAAAAAACAAAAAACCCGAGGCTGGGCCTTCCGGGGATCACACTGGCTGCCTGCTGCCTGCAGCGGACCCCAAGGGCTCTGACCTCAGCACAGGAGAGGGGCACAGGGCTCCGCAGGGCCCTCCCCCAGCCAGTGGGGGTACGGTAGCCCCGAGGAGAGGGAGGGAGAGGAAGCTCTGAACAGAGCCAGGTCCCAGAGCCGGGAGCACCAGCCTGGGAGCCTCAGCGACACATCTGTGAACAGGGATAACGTGCGGCACGTGACCACCAACGGCTGCAAACTCCCGGACCAGGGCCGCCCTCATGCATGACAGGAGCCTCATCACACTCAGCAGTGAGCCAACAGCCCAGGAGGTCATCCCCGACCCGAAGCGCTGCCCAATTACCCACACGGACCCCCTGCATGCTGGTTCCAAGGCCGTGCATGACTCGGTGCTAAGCACATCAGAGGCATTTTGCAAAGTCCCCCGGAGGAAAGGCTACCGTGAATCCTTCTACCAGGTATCTCACTGGGACTCACCCTCTCTAAACTGCACTTGGGTTTGTTTTCACCGTCGTGTAGACTAGCCATCCATATGACGTCCCTGGAACAGGGCCGCTAGCAAACAGGTGCCCACCTGGAAGGCCTGAGCCTCACTCCCCCTCAGCGTCACCCACGGTATGTGTTTGCAGGAAGAAGTCTTCTACAGGCCCTTCCAAAGCCACCTGCCATTTCTAACTGTCCACAAGGCAATTCATCAGGATGGCTCGGGGAGGTGGGGGGGGGGGGGGTCCTGCCACAACTGAATAACAGCACCCCCAGAAATGAGAAACATGCCCTGTAAAACACACCCAGAAACTCACATCCATTACAGGGATGGTGGGGTAACACGTGTGCAGAGTCTGGGTGCTTTCACAACGGAGACCCCAAGGTGCTATTGATCAGATCCCAGCCACACTCCAGCTCATCACCCTCCTGAGAGCATCATCCTCCCTCCCAGGGGGGCGCCCTCCTCCCTCCCACCTTTACCCTCCTCCCTCCCACCTTTTCCCTCCTCCCTTCTTCTCATCTCTCCCTCCTCTGTTCTCTCTCTCTTCCCTCTTATCTCCCTCTCCCACCTCTCCGCCCCCCTTCACTCGTCTCCATCCCACTTCCTCCCTCCCACCTCCTCTATCCCCCCTCCCCCCGTCACAGATCTCCCCCCTCCACCCACCTCCTTCCCACCTTCTCCCCTTCTCCTCCCTCCCTCCTCTGTCCCCCCTCCTCCCTCCCACCTTCTCCCTCCTCCCACTCAGGTCCCTCTCCGCTGGGGATTTTGGCGGCCTCTGACATTAACCCCATGAGCCCAGGGACCTGGTTCTCCCTACAGCTGTGGAAACGGTAAACACCTTCACATCTAGGCAATTCCAGGCATGGCAGTAATAACCAAGGCGCACCCCGGTCAGCAGAGAGGGGGTTCCTCGGGCCTTGGAGTTCCTGCCGCGACCCTGAGCACTGCCCCCAGCCGCCCGCGGCAGCCCATGCAGGGTCCCAGTTCTGACCCGAGGCCCCCGAGGCTCCCTCTCCTGCCTCCACACCCCTCCCCGAGCCCCAGGGCGGCTGGGCTCCGCCGATCGCAGCAGCCGCACCACGAGAGCGGCTCCTGGGGAACGCTCGGCCGGGCTCGCTGAGCCCCCAGGGACGCGGCAGCCCCGCTGGACCCCCCGGGGTGCTGGGGTGGGGCCCACGAGCGCGCCGGGGAGGCCCGCCCGAGGGGTGGGGACGAGCTCCGCGCGGCCGCCCAGCCCCGTCCCACTCACTGCCGGAAGGGGTCGTGGAAGGGCAGCGCCAGCCAGGCGCCATGCAGCTCGCGCATGAAGTCCAGCATCTCCTGCGCGCTGCCGTCGGCCGACACGAACACCACCGCGAAGGGGGCGGGCGGCCGCGCCTCGGCCACCAGCTGCGCGTGGAAGCGGCGGAGCAGCGGCGTGAAGTCGCGGCTGGGCGCGCACCACCCGGCGGCGAAGTACAGCGCCACCACCTTGTTCTGCAGCGCTTCCTCGGCGTCCACCCACGCGCCGTCGCGGGTCCGCAGGCGCCGGCCGCCCAGCACGTCCACCATGGCGCGGGCGCGGACACCTGCTCCTCCGGCCCGGCCTCGGCTGGGACCGGGGACGCGCGCACCTGACGGAGGAGGGACGCTCACAGACACCCGCGGCGACGCCTCCTGCCTCCAGGCCCGCCGCCGCGCCTCCGCCCGCCGCGCCCCCTCCCGAGCTCCGCCTGCCCTCCGCCCCGCCCCTCCTCCCAGCGCGCCCCCCCCCTCCGCCGTGTCCCGGCCCCCCACGCCCCGCGCGTTTCCATCAACCTCCCCCTCGGCCCCCTGCGCCCCCGGGCGCACTCCCCGCGCTCTCCCCACCCCGCGTCCCCGCCCCACGTGTCCCGAAGACCCGAGGAGTCCCAGGACTAGCGCCCCGAGGCGCGCTGTAGGCCCCAGGGACCCAGCAAGGGAAACGGCGGGTAAGACGCTCTGGTGACTACAGATTGAAGGAATTTGCCGCAAAAAAAACTCAGCGATCAAGATGAATCACATTCTGATGCAGTATTTTAAAACTTCAAGATCAGTGCAAAAAAACCTCACCATGAACAAAGCATCAAACATCTAAATAAGGGCAGGATTCCGCGGAAACGCGCGCCGCCCGCCGCCCCGGGCTGACTCAGCGCCCCCAGCTTGTAAGGCCTGGGGAAATCGTAGGCGAAAAACGGTGAAAACGGCAGAAAAAAGTGGAGAGGGAGCCCTTGCAGGTGGAGGTCCGACTTCTGTTAAAACTCAGAAATAGGATGAGTGGAATGCAGCTAAAACTGTGAATGTTACCAAGACTGTTTTGATCTGTTTGGCTTTTTTTTTTTCTTTTATCTCAACAGGGACACCCTCCTACAGGGGAAATTTCCAGTTATTTGTATAAATACTGGGTGCTGAGGCAGGTGCCTTCCTGCAGCCGGGGTGAAGCCTAGGCAGCCTTCCAGGGAGAGGCGTGGGGCAGCACCCCTCCTCACCAGAGGACCCTCCTTTGGCTGCCCTGCAGGCCTGTGTGTGTGTGTGTGTGTGTGTGTGTGTGTGTGTCCCACTCTCCAGAGCTGCTCCAGGGAACAAGGGACACCAGTTTTGTTTCACTCATTCGCCTCCTCCACCCGGCGTGAAGGGACTCCCCAGGGCCCTTCCTGGGGCATGAGCCTGTGTCATCAGACCACCATCCCACCTCACTGGCCACTGCTTAGGTGGGAGGGGCTACCGGTGCCCAGAGGCAGAAGGAAACCCAGGGCCCTCTCCTGTCCCTGCTGCAAGTGTCCTACACAACTCCCTCCACCCAGCGCAGGAGCAGCCACAAATGCAGTCCTAGAAACAGGACTTGCTGTCCCCCAGTCCCCGCTGGGACGCTCAACGTCGGTTCAGAATGGACTTCCTTCTGGGCACGTGAGGGTGCGCTGAGCAGGGCATCCACTAATCAGCTTTACTCGCCCCGGATAACGCCAGCCGGGCTGGACAGCTCCTACTCCTGGCGCTTGTGAGCAGCTCCAGAAAGGCCTTCTTGGTCTGTCCCCCTCTCCGAGCCCCCTCCCAGACCCCTGCCACCACCTACACAGTTTGTGACCTAGATTCTGCCCTATCATCCACTCCTCACCCAAACTGCATCCCCTGATGATCAAACCCCCCTGAGGCTCCACGGACACTCCTCTTACCTAGGGCTGGTCACTGGGCCCTGTCCCCTCCCTGCCAAGACTCCCACTAAGTCGGCCCCCATCCTTGATTACCCTGCCTGCCCTCAGCAACAATCCCCTGCCCTTGGTGTCTCCCCTAAGTGGTTTTCCATCCACTTCCACCCACCAACCCCACCCCACCCTCTCCCTTGGCTGTAAACTCCCACTTGGCCTATGTTCAGAGTTGAGCTCAGCTTCTTCACCACTGCAGTGCTACTGAATGAAATCTGTCCATCACCTTTAACTGGTGTCCAGCTCTGTTTCTCCCGAACAGCTATCAAGGGCTCTGATACCTTGGCTGGCTCATGGCCAGGGCACTGGCCGCGGGGCAGAATGTTCCTGGAGCTAACGCTGGCTGGCTGGTATAGGAGACCTCAAAGCCTCTCTGGGGAGAAACAGTGTGGTATGATCACAGCTCTGCCTGTGTTCAGGCTCTCCTCACTTCTGACCGAGGCTGTTTCCCCGAGGAAGTATTTTTCTGAGTGGGAACATTTGGGAAGTCCCCAGCCAGTGCGCCTCTTCCCTGCCCTGCCTTTGGACACTGCATACCAGTTGCTTCTATGTTCCAGAAGGGAGACACTGAAGAAACAGGTCCCTAGGCCACTTGCCATGAAATTGACTTCTTTTTCACTACAAGATATGCACATGATGATTCATTTATTTCCACCGCTACTCATGAATACACCAATATTCTCATGGGAACTTTTTCTGCTCTGATCAGCACACAGCAAATTAGACCTCCCAGTGTGCAACAATCATATTCCAAATTTCCTGGTTTTCAATATTCGTGCTGGAGTTACTTATTTTCCTGTATTTAAGTATTTGTTCCCAGGGAATGACATCATGAGGACTTCATGACTCACTTGCAAAATGGTGGTTGACCCACCACAGGGAACGTATGGCAAAGTGACAAACGAACAGAGGCCTGGCTTTCTCAGTGACCAGCTATGGGACCACAGGCAAGTCACCCCAAGGGCCTGGCTTCCCAGGGACAACTTCATGTTTAGAAGTGGTCAAAACAGATATGGTTTTGCGCTGAGGAAGTACTCCCCAGCCCCACCTCCCCAGCTTCTCCCAGTAATGTCTTAGATGATTCTAGAAGCATTTGTGCTGCTCCAGCAGATGGCCTGAAACACAAAACGTAGGCACAGAGAGAAGATGGCGGTGTGCCTGGGGCCCCTCTGCTGCCCTAACACAACAGACGGCTGCAAGAGCAGAGACGTCATCTCACAGCTCTGGGGGCAGGAAGTCGGAGATGGAGGTTCTGGTTTGCAGACCACCAACTTGTCCCTGTGTCCCCACACGGCGGAGAAGATCTCTTCCTCTTCTTTAAAGCTACATCCTATCAAATCAGGACTCCATGCTCGGGACCTTGTTTACGCATCATTACCTCCTAAAAACCCTACTTCTAGATAAAGCCCCGTTGGGGGTTAGGGTTTCAGTATGTGGGCTTGGGGGACATGGCTCCACCCACACACAGCACTGCAGGGTAAGGCTAAGGCACAGGCAGTCTGTGTCCCCAACCCCAAAGGTTTAAGTCCAGTGTGACAGAAATCCTGGAGCTCAGTGCCCTCTGTACGAGGGGAGTGAGGCGTGGAGGGAAAGAGCAGCCCTGTGGGTGGCCCAGGTCAACAGCAAACCCAGCAGGGGGTGATGGCACTGCAGGCAGCTGGGGGTGGGGGTAGGGGTTCAACAGCTACACAACAGCTTCTATGCACCGGGATCTGGAGAAACTTTAATCACATGGTTACCACGCTCCGTGCCATTCAGGATACGGCTTCATTTTCTCTTCTTGAAGCTCACCCCCATATCCCACCAAACAGTCCTCAGAAATGCACCCAGTGAGGCGGGGGTCGCACCAGGCTGGGGGTGCCCTTGCCAAGGGCTGTGGAATCTGACAAGTGCATGCTTACACCCCTGCCCTATCTCTGCAGGAGCAGCCAGGCCGACCTGCATTGGGGGTGTGAGGTCTGGCGGCCAGACCACCCCGCCCCAAGGAGCATGTTCACCTCATAGGGGACTCCTCCCGGACACCTGTGTTGTCATGAGGCTGCCTGCCCAGGCTCCAAGCCACCAGAACCGGCCCCGCTGCAGCGAATGGACCAGTGCGTCATTTCTGCATCGGGGCACCTCTCTGCAGCCCCCAACCAGGGCTGGCCACAGCAGCTGCTGGCCCACGCAAAATGAAAACGCGGGGCTGGCAGACATACTCAAGTGTGCAAGCTCCTCCCTTTCTTCCGTGGCTCTCACTTGTCCCATCATGGTTGAATGTCCTGTTGTCTTGGGCACAGGGTGAACGGGACCTTCACACCAGCCCAGGGGCCGGGCCTACGAGATGGCCCACGAGTGGCCAGCAGCCGTTGGGTTCTGTCCTGCCAGCTGCTCCCCGCACTGTGCCCACGCTGAGACCAGGTGGGCCTCACATGTTCCAAGGGGACCCTCTGCACCGCACACCCAGGTGGAGCCGGGACACTAAGGGACAGCAACAGAGGAGGATGGCGCAGCCTGGAAGCCATCCTTGCGAGGCTCCGGGGCAGTGGGAGTGGGAGCACGCGCGAGCTGAGGTCTAAGCCAGAGGCTGCAGGTGGTTGCCCTGACGCTGGGCCTGCTCCTGACACGACTGGACGTCCAGGTGACACTGGCCTCATTTAACCACTTACATCCACAACAACCGATTTCCAAGTAATTCTGCAGTTCTGGGGGCCAGGATGTCGGCATACCTGTGCTGGAGGGACACAAGTCGACCCCTAACAGCAGCGCTGAGGACGGACGGTTACTCCAGGGCAGGACTGGAAGGCGGCGTAGGAAGACAGGCCCGGGAACAGGTGGGGCAGGGACGGGGGGAGCAAGCGTCTCCACGTGGCTGCAGCGGCCGTGTGCAGGAGGGTGACACAGAGGGCAAGGGAAGGCAGGCTGCGGCAGCTCGTGGAGGCCGGCGCCCGGTACCTGGTAAGGATGGTGGTGTCCATTCATGCGATGTGCCAGGCACTGTGTTGGGCACTTTAACCTGCTTGGTGTTATCTAATCCTCAGGAGAGGCTCACGAGGTGTTGCAAAAACAAAGTAATAAATGTAGCTCCTCCCTTTGAAAACAAACTATGAAATCGGAAATGTGGACTCTGGTTTTATTAAAATGAGGGACAGTGAAGTCCCAGAGTGCTGTACTTGTTCAGGTCTGTGCGTTCCGTTGCTAACTTCGTCTCCCCACCTGCCACCCGCACGTGGTAGGACAATGCCAACACCTCCTCCCCAGTGCCTGCCCAGTGAGCAGTGAGGCTCTTCCTGGAATGAGAACCCCCGGCCTGGTGCTACCCCAAGTGAGGACGTGATGTCTGGAGCTGCTGCAGCCACCCTGAGGCTGTGAGGAATAGGTCTAGAGAATTTCAGAGATACCTGCCTAGTCCTCTGACGTCATGAACCACTGAACCCAAACC